GAAAGCGTAAAGAAGTTAGAAGGAGATTAGTTATTCCAAGGACACTGATTGATGAAGTTTTAACGTGGTGTCACAATGACCATACAGCAGGACACCTGGCATTCCATAAAACTTATTATAAAATTCGATCGAGATTCTTTTGGGAAGGAATGTATAAAGACATAGATTTCTGGTGCAAATCATGTCTAAACTGTGCGAGTAGAAAAACACCTAAAGGGAGAAAACGAGCTCCAATGTTACCCATACCTGTTGATGGACCATTTGACAGAGTTGCGGTTGATGTTTTAGGACCATTACCACCAAGTTTGAAAGGCAATCGTTATATAGTAGTGTTTTCAGATTACTTGACAAGATGGGTAGAAGCATTTCCAGTATCAAATGCCGATGCGAAAACCACAGCAAAACTGTTCGTTGAAGAAATTATTTGTCGACATTCAGCTCCTCGTACATTACTTTCTGACAGAGGACGAAACTTCACTTCGAGTTTGATGAAGGAAGTATGTGATTTAGTGAATACAAAGAAGATATTTACAACTGCTTACCATCCTCAGTGCGATGGATTGGTAGAGAAATTCAATGACACTTTAACAACTATGCTGTCAATGTTTGTGAATGATCATCAGCGAGACTGGGATGTTTTTATTCCATATGTGCTATTTGCCTATAGGACAAGTATACAGGAAACTATTCAGGAAACACCATTTTATTTAGTTTATGGAAGGGATGCGCGATTACCAGTTGATGTGGCATTATCTGAACCAACTCGTAGATATACTGATGTGGACGACTACAAAAATGTTATATTACATCGATTAAACGAGGCCTTCACTTTAGTGAAAAGTAATATAGAACTTGCCCAACAAAAGCAAAAACAACACCAGGACAAGAATGCGAAAGAGCCAGAATTTAGTATTGGAGAAAGAGTTTGGATTTACTTGCCTGTGACAAAACAAGGTCTTACTCACAAATTAATTCATCCTTGGAATGGACCACATCGCATAATAGAAAAAACCTCACCTGTGAATTTTAAAGTTGAAAGTTGTGATAACAAAAGAAGAGAGCAGATTGTGCATGCAAACAGAATGAAAGCATTTGTTGATCCTGAAGATTTACCACCTAATCTGCGATTTAATGAAGACCATTCTGACAACGAAAGAGAATCTGGAGATGAGAATGAAGAGAATTATCCAGGTGATGAAAATAATTCAGAATTAGAAAATGCACAAAGAACGGTGTTAGAACCTGAAATAATAGAAGTTTGTGATAAGTTATGGTCCAGGAATGATAAAGGGAGAGCAGAAGCTAAATATTTTGTGAAATATAAAAATGATGAAAAAGAAAGTACATGGGTGGATTCTTCACTAGTTCCAGGAAATTTAATCGAGGAATTTGAAAGAAATTATAAAGGTCGAGGTGCTGCATTCAGACAAAGAAAAAAATAAATTGGTGACATAGTGAATAAGTGTGCGGATTACTAGGATTGTGATTTTCATGTGAAATTGTGAATATGTTAGTTCAGAAGATGAAGATAATGGTGATTCAGATAAATTTGACAGGAACCGTGACTTGCGTAATGTACATTAAGATGGCCAGTGCTCCAAAACCATATGGATGGCTCCAAGTTTCATTGTGTGGTGCTCCCAAAACACATAAATTTTGGAATTTGGCATTTGTCAGCCCAGGTCTATATATTGGACATTGGAATGAAAACAACTTAAACTGAAATTTACTTTCTTGGAGAACATTCAACTTATTACATGTATTATTATGGATTATTCTAAGAACTATTGTTCACTTTGTAACAGAGAATTTAAACACAGACGGAATTTATACAGACATAACAGAGAGTGTCATTCCAATGGACATTACGATCATCAGTGCCCTGTGACGACGTGCGGTAAAGTTTTCGGAAGAAAATATGCTTTAACACAGCACATGAAGAAGTACCACACTTATTATGATGAGCCTGAGCCAGTGTTTGTGACCATCAAGAACGACATGTACTCTGACATTTCAGATGAAGAAGAAGAGAATTTTGGAGAATTCTTTACAAATTATTATTCTCCTGTGAGCAACTTATCGTTAACATCATTAGAGGAAACAATGGAAACTCTTGTAAATCCAGAGGAAGACGAGCCCCAGAACCATGAAGTGAATCCTAACTATGAGGAAGAAGATGTGTCTGACCTTGAAGACCCTGAAAGTTCAGATGACCTAGAGCGGGAAGAAGAAGCAGAAGGACCAGATGACGACTTCAACCCCACCAAGACAGTGGAATTGATGTGTATAAACTTAACATTAAAACGATATCAACATACCTATGCAGATGGACATCAATCTATAGAAAGAGAGACTGGAATAAGTTATAGTAAAGGATTAATACCAGAAGAAATTGACTTTTCTGAAATCGCGATGAATATCATCAATGAAGTGCCAGAACATTTGAACAATTTGAGAAATCGTTTCGTGTCTGCTGAAATTTTGTGAATTCTCTCGTACTTCGTGTTGATGTGCCTTTGGACTAAATGACTTATTTTGGACTTTATAAATTATTCGCTTTGGATTAATATTTTCTATGAACAGTTTAACTTATAATTTGTGATTATGGACAGCTCAATACATTTTTATGAACAGTTAAATATTTTTTTTAAATTGTATAACTGATGTTACACTGTGTTGATATGTGTTTGGTGGTTCATATATTGTGAAATGTTAGTGTTTGTTACTTAAGTAGGTGATGAAGAGATGCTCATGGGAAGATAATGATTTAAACTAATCAATGAAGTTTAGGAGATTTTACAATGGATTTTAAGGTGTATAGATTTGTTTAAGTAGGTTAGTTCTTTTTGATAAACGTTTCCATAATGTATCTAGAGGACATATTGTAGTTTTAGTGTTAATGTAATAGTAGTTGTAAACTGAGGACAGTTACTTAAAAAGAGGGGAAGGAATGATGAGTAGTAATTTTAGGCTCAAAAGTAATGAAGTGATTTATGATTAAATGTCCAGAGTTACAGGCATTTGGATGCATTGCCCAGACTAGTCAAGCTGTGTTGGGGTAATTAAAAGTAGAGCAGTGTCTAGTGTGGTCAAGAATAATGAGTCTTTAATGAGTGGAGCAATGGGAGCTATTGTTCGTAGAATCGGGAGCCGTGTATTGAGTTAAGGTCAAGCTAGGTTATGACAGTTTGATAAGGATTTGATAAAGATATATGTAGAGTTGGAGTAAGTTAATTAATAGGATGGAGCTAATGTTTTAGATAATCATCTATTGGAGCTAAGATTAGTATATAATAAGTGTGACATTTTTAGAAGGGGGGAGTGCTTTATTAGGATTTAGGCAGTACTAGCTAGCATAAATGTAACATCTTTTGTTTGTATTGTGCCTCCTCATTGTATATATGTAAATAAATTAGTGCACGGTTTACTGACTTTTTATTGGAAATAGCATTACAAGGATTTATTAACCAAGGATATCTTAATTACAATTGGATATATACGAAGTGGAATTAAAAAGTATAAATGCTCGGTCACCTCCGTGACATTGTCAAATGCCCATCATATTAAACAATATCAAATTACCGGTAGTCTTAGCAACTTAATCTATACAAAATTAATTTTGAAAATAAAAGGCTGGCCATCAAATGACATATGCTATTTCAACTGACCAGCAGTCAGTTCTTCTGTCTAATTCCCAAAGGGTAACAGATAAGAAGATGCTGGCTAGCCTTCCTAAATTGAACTTATTAATTAATCTTTGACTGGATGCTTGTCTACTCATTACTATAGATGAATGAATCTGAACTCTCTACCATAAAATATTTTTAAAAATATATAAAATACTCAATGATTTTTTTTTAACATTTAATGTCAGAAAGATTTTAATATGCGATTTCTATGGAAAATGGACATGCTGACTCCAATCCTATGAAATTAATTTTTTAAATTAATAATATTATATAATATCATATCAGTTTATTATGCAAAATCAAATTAGTGTAAATTACTTTTCATCAAATTCATTTTAAAACTTAGGCTAGCCAACACGAGCTATTTTTAATCCAACAGGATTACCCATCTGCCTTAATTCCCAAAGGGATATATATAACACCGATGCTCTCCAGTTAGCTCCTCACACTAAACTCATTAATTTCTCTCTAATTTGACATGCAACTTTCTGTTATCAAAACTCTTGACCAGTGCTTGATAATTACACTCATGGGAGACATGGGATTTCTCTAACATACATTAATATATTTGTTATAGATTGCTGTCAAGTATATGCTGAAAAAAATATGTATTTTCTTGATTTAACACTTATTTAATAAGGATACAACTATATTTTTACATTTTTTAGGATTATGAAATTCAAAATTTAAAAAACTTAGTTTTTTAAAAAAATTCACTTAAATTAAAGGTCACAGTGACCTTGAAATAGGTCGCGACACACCTTCTACCCAAGATGTATACATTTCCCAAGTTTGATAGTTCTAGGTCTAATAGTTTACTAGTTATGAGCCGGACAGGATTTTTCCATATTTGGCCATAGCATCTTAATTAAAGGTCATAGCGACCTACTTTTTGCGCGCGACACACCGTCTACCCAAGAAGTATCAGTTGACAAAGTTTGATAATCCTAGGCCTAATAGTATTGAAGTTATGAGCCGGACAGGAATGGACAGACAGACGGACGTACGGACGGACGGACATGAAGCCTATAACATAATACGTCCCGTCTTAAGACGGGCGTATAAAAATCTCACTTGAGTTTTTAGTTCAGGTGAGCTTAAAAGGGAAAATACATAATGTTTTACACAATGTATTTGAAAAACTTTGAAAGAGTTTATTTTCTTATTTTAAAAAAAAAACTTAAACATGACAAATGTTAAATTATGACATGTACAAGATTATAAAACAATATACATTAATTCTCAGTATTCAAAAGAGACTTTATAAAAAGAGAGTGTCACTTTAAATTGTATTAAAGATATATATTTTAATAGAACATGAAACAATTCAAACTAGTTAAAACAAAATATAATTAGAGATCTGAAATATTCCTTTGATTTTGTCTTTTTTTTTTTGGCATTAAATTGTTATATTTAAGCTTGTTTATGGTTTAAACACATATTGTGGAAATAAATACTTAATTTACACTGTACATGTACGTATTGAACAATCAGCTTCAACATGTTTAATACTCTTACAGTTTACTCTTACTCTCATTAAAAAAAACAAACAACATTGTACAAACTTTAGTTTTGTTTGTTGTTCAACGCGTGTAACAATCTCCGAGACTTAAACAATCTTTTTCCAAACAGAAAATTGTCATAAGATGGAAGATCTTCCTCGGATACGGGTGGAAACTGCGAGACCCCAATTCTACAACAGCCTGTATACAGTGGGAATTTATCCCCCGCCCTGTCTGGGAACTGGGACTGAATTTCTTTGATGTCCTTTATAGATTCATTTTCCAGTATGGCTTTCACGTCAATACCAACACAGAATAATCTGTAATGTAAAACCATCCAGAGGAAAACTATGGAAGCAATGTTCAGTTTTCTGGGTTTATCCTTGTCTTGAAAGATTGGGAGCTTGACACTGCAGATTAGAATATCATTGAGAGAATCATACATTAGAATCCTGTAATGACGCGGGGAAATCAGGAGGTTTGGTATCAGAGAGTTTTGTAAATGTGGATAAAGTTTCCTTTGGATGAACGAGAAAACAATTGTCTGGGAAATTATTTGATTTTCAACTCCTTGATTGCTGTTTACTCTTGTTTCACAAAATGTCCTTTCTTCTTCTTGGCAATCTTTTTCATCAACTACAAAAAAAATTTAAAAAATATAACAACTTTATTTCATTCAAACATACATTTATGAAAAAGACAAACACATTATATTGACTTTGGATTATACAATGTCAAATCCCAAAATTGTACATTGTTTATCATGTTTATAATTGTGTATATAATAATTAGAAACTCGATAGGAAGCATTTCCGTTTGCCATTTGTATTTAGTATTGTAGATGCACAGGTACATTGTAGTACATGATGTGACTCATTCCAACTACCAAAGAATTTTGTCAGCTTAGGCCATGAAAAATTAATTACCTGGTTCTCAGGCCTTTTTTCAAGAAATATGATGAGGGAAGGAGGCTTTTTTTTCTTTTTTATTGCCCCCAAAACATGATGAGGCAGCTTTTTACATTGTACAAAACCTCAAAAAATGATGAGGGAGGTTATTTGGTGTTTATATTTTATTGATTTAGCAACAAGAGGCCCATGGGCCACATCGCTCACCTGAGAAGCTTTGACTATTCTGTTCTTTACTAGATTTCCCCCATGTAATACATATTGTGACCCCACCCTATCCCACTGATCATAATTAAGACAATTTGAAATCTACCCTACCCCAGGATGCTTCCACATAAGTTTCAGCTTTTCTGGCCCAGTGGTTCTTGGGAAGAAGATTTACAAAGATTTTTCCTATGTAAAATTTTGATTCTCCATTGTACCCCCGTCCTACCCCCGGGGGTCATGATTTGAACAGTTTAGAATCTACACTTCTCAAGGATGCTTTCATGTAAGTTTCAGCTTTTCTGGCCCAGTGGTTCTTGAGAAGAAAATTTTCAAAGATTTTTCCTATCTATTTCTATGTAAAACTTTGATTCCCCATTGAGGCCCCGCCCAATCCCCGGGGGTCATGATTTAAACAATTTAGAATCTACACTACCCAAGGATGCTTTCACATAAGTTTCAGCTTTTCTGCCCCAGTGGTTATTAAGAAGAAGATTTTCAAAGATTTTTCCTATATATTTCTATGTAAAACTTTGATTCCCCATTGTGGCCCCGCCCAATCCCCGGGGGTCATGATTTGAACAATTTAGAATCACTACCCAAGGATGCTTTCACATAAGTTTCAGCTTTTCTGGCCCAGTGGTTCTTGAGAAGAAGATTTTCAAAGATTTTTCCTATATATTTCTATGTAAAACTTTGATTCCCCATTGTGGTCCCGCCCAATCCCCGGGGGTCATGATTTGAACAATTTAGAATCTACACTACCCCAGGATGCTTTCACTTAAGTTTCAGTTTTTCTGGCACAGTGGGTCTTGAGAAGAAAATTTTTAAAGATTTTTCCTATCTATATCTATGTAAAAATTTGATTCCCCATTGTGGCCCCGCCCAATCCCCGGGAGTCATGATTTTAACAATTTAAAATCTACAATACCCCAGGATGCTTCCACATAAGTTTCAACTTTTCTGGCCCAGTGGTTCTTGAGAAGAAGATTTTTTAATGACCCCACCCTATTTTTGTCTTTTCTTGATTATCTCCCCTTGTGAAGGGATTTGGCCCTTCATTTTAACAATTTAAATTTCCCTTCACCCAAGCATGCTTTGTACCAAGTTTGGTCAAAATTGGCCCGGTGGTTCTTGAGAAGAAGTGGAAAATGTGAAAAGTTTACGGACGGACAGACAGACAGCTAGACGCACGGTCGGACACAATGCGATCAGAAAAGCTCACTTGAGCCTTCGGCTCAGGTGAGCTAAAAACTTTGGTCGGCCATTTTGGCCCTGCCCTACCCCTGGGGGTCATGATTTGAAAAAAAATTGAATCTACACTACTTGAGCATGCCTCCATATAAATATGATGAATTATGGCTTTGTCATTCTTGAGAAGATTTTTAAGAATTTTCCTATATATTTCTATGTTAAAATTTGGTCGGCCATTTTGGCCCCCCCCCCCCTACCCCCGGGGGTCATGATTTGAACAAACTTGAATCTACACTACTCAGCATGCTTCCATATAAATATGATAAATTATGGCTTTGTCACTCTTGAGAAGAAGATTTTTAAAGAATTTTCCAATATATTACTACGTTAAACTTTGGTCGGCCATTTTGGCCCCGCCCTACCCCCGGCGGTCATGATTTGAACAAACTTGAATCTACACTACCTGAGCATGCTTCCATATAAATATGATGAATTATGGCTTTGTTATTCTTGAGAAGAAGATTTTTAAAGAATTTTCCTATGTATTTTTATGTAAAACTTTGGTCGGCCATTTTGGCCCCGCCCTACCCCCGGGGGTCATGATTTGAACAAACTTGAATCTACACTACCTGAACATGCTTCCATATAAATATGATGAATTATGGCTTTGTCATTCTTGAGAAGAAGATTTTTAAAGAGTTTACCCATATATTTCTATGTAAAACTTTGATCGGCCACTTTGGCCCCGCCCTACCCCCGGGGGTCATGATTTGAACAAACTTGAATTTACACTACCTGAGCATGCTTCCATATAAATATGATGAATTATGGCTCTGTCATTCTTGAGAAGAAGATTTTTAAAGAATTTACCTATATATATCTAGGTAAAACTTTGGTCGGCCATTTTGGCCCCGCCCTACCCCCGGGGGTCATGATTTGAACAAACTTGAATCTACACTACCTGAACATGCTTCCATATAAATATGATGAATTATGGCTTTGTCATTCTTGAGAAGAAGATTTTTAAAGAGTTTACCCATATATTTCTATGTAAAACTTTGATCGGCCATTTTGGCCCCGCCCTACCCCCGGGGGTCATGATTTGAACAAACTTGAATTTACACTACCTGAGCATGCTTCCATATAAATATGATGAATTATGGCTTTGTCATTCTTGAGAAGAAGATTTTTAAAGAATTTACCTATATATATCTAGGTAAAACTTTGGTCGGCCATTTTGGCCCCGCCCTACCCCTGGGGGTCATGATTTGAACAAACTTAAATCTACACTACCTGAGGATGTTTCCCCATAAGTTTCATCTTTCCTGGCACAGTGGTTCTTGAGAAGAAGATTTTTTAAATATGCCACCAAATTTTCTTTAATTCCCAATTATCTCCCCTTGAATGAGGGCGTGGCCCTTTATTTGAACAAACCTGAATCCCCTTCACCCAAGGATACTTTGTGGCAAGTTTGGTTGAAATTGGCCCAGCGGTTCTTGAGAAGAAGTCGAAAATGTGAAAAGTTTACAGACAGACGGACAGACGGACAGACAGACAGACAGCTATACAGTTGAGAGGTACATTGTGCATTTTACGGAAGGTGCGGGGTTATCATTTTGCTTTGTGGGGTTATTGAGAGTACAGTGGTGACTTGAGAGGTTTCATTAGGAATTCAAACAAATGGTATATTGTGGGGTTAAAGGTCTATATTTGTGGGGTTAAAGATCTATCTTTGTGGGGTTTAAGATCTATATTTGTGGGGTTAAAAATTAATTATTTAATATCAAGTCAACTTTACACGCAACTAATTATAACTACTTAAAATTGTTACTGTTTATCTGAAAAACTTAAAACGGATATAGCAATAACATTTTTCAACTACTACATAGCAGTAACAATGCAAAAAAATGTTTTTATTTGAGGATAACTGTTGCATCAAAGTAAATTAACCCATCATGTTTTCACATAAAGATGATAAACAAGAATACCCCAGAAAGTGTTAAACAAACAACCCCACTATGCTATATAGATATATCAGACAACACTAACCCTATAAATTATAAGACAAACAACCCCAGTATGTACTCTTATAAAGATAATAGACAACACTAACCCCATAAAGTGTTTGGACAGCAACCCCACTATGTACTCTCATAAAGATAACAGACAACACTAACCCCATAAAGTGTTTGGACAGCAACCCCACTATGTACTCTCATAAAGATAACAGACAACACTAACCCCATAAAGTGTTTGGACAGCAACCCCACTATGTACTCTCATAAAGATAATAGACAACACTAACCCCATAAAGCGTTTGGACAGCAACCCCACTATGTACTCTCATAAAGATAACAGACAACACTAACCCCATAAAGTGTTTGGACAGCAACCCCACTATGTACTCTCATAAAGATAACAGACAACACTAACCCCATAAAGTGTTTGGACAGCAACCCCACTATGTACTCTCATAAAGATAATAGACAACACTAACCCCATAAAGTGTTTGGACAGCAACCCCACTATGTGCTCTCATAAAGATAATAGACAACACTAACCCCATAAAGTATTTGGACAGCAACCCCACTATGTACTCTTATAAAGATAATAGACAACACTAACCCCATAAAGTGTTAGGACAATAACCCCATTAAGTACTCTTATAAAGATAACAGACAACATTAACCCCATAAAGTGTTTGGACAGCAACCCAACTATGTACTCTCATAAAGATAATAGACAACACTAACCCCATAAAGTGTTTGGACAATAACCCCACTATGTGCTCTCATAAAGATAATAGACAACATTAACCCCATAAAGTATTTGGACAGCAACCCCACTATGTACTCTCATAAAGATAATAGACAACACTAACCCCATAAAGTGTTTGGACAGCAACCCCACTATGTACTCTCATAAAGATAATATGCAACATTAACCCCATAAAGTATTTGGACAGCAACCCCACTATGTACTGTCATAAAGATAATAGACAACATTAACCCCATAAAGTGTTTGGACAGCAACCCCACTATGTACTCTCATAAAGATAATAGGCAACACTAATTCCATAAAGTGTAACAACCCCATCATGTTCTTATATAGATGAAAGATAACATTAACCCCACAAAGTGTTAGACAAGAACCACAATATGTTCTGATAGAAAATATCCGACATCTTAGTAACCTCAGAGTGTTAAACAAACAACCTCGCTGTGTTCTCATGTAACAGATACCAGTAACCATATGAATTTAAGTGTTTGAAAACCCCAGTATGTTCTAATATCAAAAAACTCTACCAGAGACTGGTAATAAAAGAACAAG